GTTAGGGGCAGAGTAGTGATTGGACTTGGAGAGGGTGTGGTGTCATGCTGTAGACGTAACTCTGTGTGGCACTAGGGAGCCACAGACGGTTTTAGAGCAGCAAAATCAAATGCTCAGACGGGGCATAACCTGAAGACTTCTGCTGACACTCTTGGTCCTCCACATTTGGCCTCCCTTGTCATCTTCATCTCTACAAAGCAGAATCTACCAGTCTTGTGGCTGCGGAGGAGCCCCACTCAGGCTGGCCTGCTGTTCTGCCTTCTCCACTCCTGTGTCTCTCTCTTTCCCTGTTGTGTCCCTTCTCCCTGTCAATCTATATCCCTCCCATCTGTTTTTAAGGCTCTGCTCCAGCTCCTGCTTCTCTCCTTACCTGTCTCTAACCAGCCCAGGCCACAGCACGTGCTGAGCAGCGTCTTTGGAATCTTACTTGATTGTAGCCCCCAGGGAGACATGTACCAGGCGTGGTACCTTGTAAACCCTGTAGATCCCTGCGCACACCCACATCGACATAACTTACCCACTCTGTGCTCCTGCATTTTCTGTTCTGCTCTGTTTGTTTCGTCGTCTTGACCCACCAAATTGCTTTACCATCCTACAAATGGGTCAGCCGGGCCACCCTCTGTCACTGACCCTGCTGTGGTTTGGAACTTCTTGCCTGCGTTGGGTTTCGTAGGTTCCCTGGGGAAACGTTTCTCTGTCACACAGGGGCTTGCTCAACTCACACCTCAAGAGCACTCAGAACATGCCCTGAGTTCAGTGTCCTGTGATTCCCGCAACGTTCAGGGTCATTTTGAAAGGGTCCTTCTCCTCAGTTCCTGCCTTTAGATGTGAAGCTCAGTAAGATTATTCTAAGAGATTTGGGGGAAATCCAATGTGTCTCCTTGAGATTGCAGGCTGCTTTCATTATTTGTATGGGAGCAGAGGTTTTGTATGCCCCCTGTATCTTACCTGGCACTCTTGTCAAATGGACCTTTGGAACAAGTGCTGTAAAGGAAGAATTGTCTTCGTTACACCAAGTTATTTTACGGTTTGTTTCATCCCAAGTGATACATTTTTTATTCAGTATAGCAGAGTCTGCTGTTGAAGCAAAGGAGCATGAGAACCAGCAGAGTGGCCGCGAAGGCTGCAGGGTGGGCAGATATCTCACGGGGAACTGACTGTGCAGTTGCTGGAGTGAGCGTGGCTGCTGTGAGCCGCACCTGTGCCCTGTCCATCTGCCCTCTTGTCCATTCGCTGTACACACGACTGCATGAAGTGCTTGCCGGCCTTTTTCCAGCGCTATCCCAGAAATCAGCCATCGTGTGGAGGAGCGTTTCATTTTCACTGGAGTAACCTTACTTCCTTAGGACATCAGCATCTGACAAGGGACAGTCTTACCCCAAACCAGCTCTTCCTTCTCTTCTGAGAAGTAAAAGGAAACTTGCTTTACCCCAGTCCGCCTCCGATAAAGAGCTCATTTTTAGCCATAGGATGGCATTTACTAAAGCCAGCTAATAACTGATCTGTGTTCACACACATCCATGGAGGATAGTTTCAGAGGCAAAGTGATAGTTTCAGAGGCTGAGCTGAAGGGCCAGGCGTTCCTTCCAGAAATGCTTGTGTTCTGGAAGCCATATGCAGTGACTGTTCTAAGGGTATTTCCCGCTGAGGTCAGTGAAATATGCACGATATATCTCTTGTACTTATACCAGGATGCTCAGCTCTGTCTGTTTTAAACAAATATTGGACCTCTGGAATAGCTTTTTGGGTATAGATTTTGCATCTGTGAAATGAGACAATCAGTCTGGATTATAATCTAGGGATCAAATATGATACCGTGATTCTGAACTTGTCTGTGCCACCTTCAGGTACCTAGTTTCAGTGCATTAATAGTGTTCCATTCACCTTACCAGATCTCAGATTTTCGCTTAGTTTTTCCAAGCCCTTGAATGTGGTTTGTAGAAGAATTCTCTGGGGAAAACCTTTCAGAACATGGTCAGTTTATCTTCAACTGGCTCATCCCATGAATCTGGGTCGGACATTTATTATGAGAGTGCCGGGCTGTGCATGGGAACTTACAATGGTTTGCAGAAAGGGTGTTTTGGCTTTAGGTAGCATACAGCTAAGACACTTCATGGAAAGGGGTAACTGTTCCTTTAAATCTTAGGGTTTGCCGGTATGAACGAAGCTGTACTGTATAGATTCTCTCTGGAGCCTGAAACTGTTTACCCGTCCGTCTGCCTTCTCTGAGCAAGTATCTGACACACATCGACAGCGCATACACACAGTGATTCTTTCTGTTTTGTGATGTTTGCTTCCTGTCTCGTTTTTTCACTGCTGGCTGCATAACTTGGCAACACCTGCATCTGCCTGTCACCCATTGGCAATACGCTGGGTGACCAACTTCTCAAACAGCAGGCAGATTTCGACACGAGGTGGACCGAGTGAAAAGCGAAGATGGTGTGTGATTGGCCAAGAATGTGATCATCTGGTCCAGGATTTTGGCATGATTTTGACTGCAAAGAATGTGTGGCTCCTTCGAGACTGACAGTTGTGTGCCAAGTAGTCGAGGTTGCTCAAAATTGCCCTTCAAATAAGGTAGAGCTTACTGCATGTTGTATGCCTATCAGCGTGCACATGATTTCAGTAAAGCACGACCTGAATTCACACGGGGTAATTCCACCGTCGATATGTTGTTCAGACAAATGAACGTAGCCAACTGGGCGGCAAGCGTGGATTCCCAGCATTAGCGCAGGCTAGTGGATAAATGCAACGTGACATAATTTATTAAATGCAGTCTAGTTTATAAATGCACGCACGTACCTGTGTGTGTTGGTGTTGGTTTTCAGGAGAAATCTCAGTCGAGGTGTACTTTCTTCCACACATCTGGGATGCTTTAGTAGAGTCTCATATTTTAGGGCTGATAATGACCCATTAAGGTCTTTTGCTTCCATTGTTTATTTTATAGATGAGAAAACAGACCCAGGGAGAAGTGAAGGCTGAGTTGGAATGAGAACCATGTGCTGGTGCTTGCATTTACTGGTCACACTGAACACTAGGTGGCGGTCTAGCCCTGTCTTCGGTCTCAGTTCTGCAGGCTGCGTGCCTGGGTTGGGATTCTGCGAATGGCGAGGCTGGCTGGAAAGCAGGCTCTGTCCCTCTTTGACCAGCCGTGCCGCCTGACTCAGATGATGGCATGTCTGCATTTGAGGTTATTTCTTTTGGCCTTTACTCATAACTAGGGATAAACATGTTTTCAAACAAAAATCAAAATATGTAACAGTCAATATTGGGCTTTAAACTCCAGGAAGGACAGGGGGCCAGGTCATTCTCTGATGTGCTATGCCTGTGTCTTTTCTGTTTTCGCGTCAGAAATGGACTATTCCAGTCTTTCTTCTGTAGTAACAACCTGCTTGTCTCCATTATCTCAGCCACCTGCCACTGGAAACCCTCCGTTCCCCTAGCAAATGGTGTCTGTCACTCGCATGGCAGGGGTGTGGGGGGCTTCACCCCTGGAACCTTATGGCAGTTTCTGTAGAATGTCTTGTTATCAGTTGATTAGATCTTGGTCTTTTTCTGCCAGACAGCTGAGGGCCAAGATGTATACACTTCTGTATTTGCAGCATCAAGTGCATTGTCTGGGGCAGGGTGGCTGCTGAGAGGAAACTTGTTAGTTAATTGGATATATAGATGTATGGATGTTTGGGTGTTTAGATGGAAAAGGGTGGATAGAGCGAGAAGGAAGGGAAAGGAAGAGGTGGAAAAGAAGAATGAGGGAAAAATGAAGGGAAGAATATTAAAGTGGGTTGATGGATATATAGTGGGCAGATGAGTGTGTCAGTGGGTAGATGGAGGGTGTATGAATGGAAGGGTGCAGACTGGTGAATTGGTGGGCAGATGGATGATGGTTAGATGGATAGATGGGTGGATGGACAGGTGGATGGGTGGATAGGTGGATGAACAAATAGATGGGTGGGTGAATGGGTGGACAGATGAATGGGTGGATGGATGGATGCATGAATGATGGATGGATGGATAGATGGATGGGAGTGGATGGATAGATGGATAATGGTTAGATGGATAGATGGGTGGATAGATGGGTGGTTGGGTGGATAGGTGGATGAATAAATAGATGGGTGTGTGAGTGGGTGGGTGGATGAATAAAATAGATGGGTGTGTGAGTGGGTGGATGGGTGAATGGATAGATAGATGGAAGATGGATGGATGGATAGATGGATGGGAGGGGATGGATAGATGGAAAATGGTTAGATGGATAGATGGGTGGATGGGTGGATGGGTGGATAGGTGGATGAATAAATAGATGGGTGTGTGAGTGGGTGGATGGGTGAATGGATAGATAGATGGAAGATGGATGGATGGATAGATGGATGGGGATGGATGGATAGATGGATGGAAATGGATGGATAGATGGATAATGGTTAGATGGATAGATGGGTGGATGATGGGTAGGTATTGATGAGTGGGTGGATGGTTGGATGGATGAGTAGATGGATGGGTGGATGAGTAGATAGATGGATGGGTAGGTGGATGGATGGATAGAGAGATGGATGATTGTTAATTGATGAATGGGTACATGATGGCTAGATGGGTAGATGGATGGATGGATAAATGGATGGATGGGTAGATGAATGGATGGATGGATAGATGGATGGATGGATAGATGGATGGGAGTGGATGGATAGATGGAAAATGGTTAGATGGATAGATGGGTGGATGATGTCTCGGTATTGATGGGTGGGTGGATGGTTGGATGGATGAGTAGATGGATGGGTGGATGAGTAGATGGATGGGTAGGTGGATGAATAGATAGAGAGATGGATGATGGTTAATGGATGAATGGGTAGATGATGGCTAGATGGGTAGATGGATGGATGGATAGATGGATGGGTGGGTAGATGGATGGATGGATGGATAGGTAGGTGGTTGTGTGGTTTACACGTTAGCTCTGGAACCTACAGGCCAGCCCTCCTTACCTCTACCCCTTTGTTTCCTTCTTCCAGGTCGTGGGCATTTTTGCTGGATTTGGGCTCCTGCTCTTGGTGGCCTCGCCTTTCCTGCTTCTGGCCACTCCCTTTGTACTTTGCTGCAAGTGCAAGTGCAGTAAAGGTGATGACGACCCGTTACCCACCTAGAGGAAGTACGATGCTGGAACAAATCCCTGCCTCCGGGAAGCGTGGCTCTCCCCCAACCCTCCCCACCGTCCCCCTCTCACTAAACATCTTTCTTGCCTTATGTGCCCCATTGAGCTTCACAGTGTCAGGCTGGACGCCGTGATTTCAGGGACCTATGTCACAATGTTCGCTGAGGCCCCAGGTGTGGTCACCTAGGTGTGGGGAGGGGGAGGCAGGTGTGGGTAGGGCACATCCCCACAGATGAATCTCTGCAGATGACAGGGAGGTGCTGTGAGAAGCGCACCAGGCAGCTTTCTCTCTGTGGTAGACTAGGCATGCCTGGGGATGGCCTAAGAGACTTTCTCCTCCTTGGCTTCTAGATGGCTCCATGTTGTTGGAGAAGTCTTAAGGATTGTGACTCTCTTCAGACAGAATCTGATTATTCCAGCTTGAGAAAAGCACTCTGTTTATGACAACTGGTTTTATTACTAATGGCATTTAGTAAAATCCTTTTTAGAAGGTATTTTTTTTCCAACTGAGTAGTGAAAATCAACAAGGTGCATATAAACCATCCTATGCCTTTCTTGAAATGTGCATTTTAAGAAGTTATAGTTAAAACGACTCTTCAGGAGATTTAGAAAGCCTTATGCACTCTTTGTGTTTTTCTTGAAACTTGCTGTAATAACTTTTTGAACGCTGTAAGCTATGTACTGTTATCAATGTGGTTCCTATATTGTTGCATTTCCTTGATAATATTGACATGTTTAGAGGAACATCTCATCTCCATTAGATTTGCCTTTTGTTGTTTTCTCTGGTGATTCAGCTCAGCTCATGGGTCTCATCCCTTCTCTCCCAGGTAGCAGAAAACGCCTTTTATTGTATTCAATCCAACCGCTTTGCTCCGAAATGGCTCTCCTCCAAATTGTTGCTGTCTGGCCTCTGGCCTAAGTCTTCAGGTAGACAGTGAGAAGAAAGCAGCCTTATTGATCCGCAGAGGTAGGGCCTCTTGGCAGCGGCTGGAGAGCTCTGGGGGCTGAGGAAGAGCCTGCCAGATCTTCACGTTTTTAAAATGCTCTAGTCATTGTGAGAAATCATATATCTTACACAGTTCCAAGTCCTGTTGCTAACCGTTTTGCTCTTGTTGGGGAAAAGAACCTCCCGTTTCACTTAGTTTTACTGTGGGGATTTTACCACTTGATCTTTCACAGGGCTGTCTGAGACCATTTCCATGGCAGCAGGATGCGGGGATTAATAAGGAGAAGAAGTTATACATTACTCCACCATTACTCCAAGTTATACATTTCACACACATGACTCCACCGGCTGACTTTGAAAAGTGGAGAAAGTGTATTCTTTAAAGAGAATTTACTTCTAAAAGCCACAGGTGCTTTTACAAAGCAAACTGCATTGAACTGAAAACTTCTAAAAATAACAGGCAAATATTATAGATATATTACAGTGGGATTTAAAAAATCTTGTTAAACATTCTATAAAGAAGTAAAACAAAAACAAAATCCTTTTATCTCAGTTATTTGCTCATCACAAGCACATTTAAAAAATGCTGCTTTGTGTGTGTTTGACTTCTGCATTTGAGTATCAGTCTCAGGTCCTAGTTTACCTTCCCTGGTTGGAGATTTATTTCTAATTTCCTAACAATGAATTCATTAGAAGAAACAGCATCACATCACTCTTCACCTCTCATGTTGATTTTCCTTATGAAACTGAAGCCATTTAGAAAATCCCTCTGTGTCAAAATTACATTCAAAACGCTCTCCTTGTAATTGCGATTTATAAGTTTAGTAATCAATAAGAACATGCCTGTGACTCCCTTTCTGGATGACACCTGGGCTGTGGCTCTCTGTAGTTTGTGGTGCTGTGATGGTGTCTACTGGTAGAATAGCTTTTCTGGAGGTGGGTGGCAACTCCACGCAGGAGTCATTGGCTGGGCTTGAGCCCTCAGCCTGTGATATGTGGATGCAGCTGTCCAGCCACTGCCCTTTAAAATGCCCAGCACACATGGGAGGCCTGTGGCCCAGTGTCCACCATATGCTTGTCCTTCCTGCCTGAAATTGCTGCTGCCCATTGCATGAGCCCACACAGTAGCACCCCCATCCTTGGGATGAGAGTCAGAGCCTTTGGAAAGTCTGCATCCCCAGGGCTAGAGCTCAGATGACCTTACTTCTAGAGGGACAGGCTGTTCCCTTGGAGGAGTCTCTGGCCCAGTCACGCACATCTGTAGCCCAGCCATCCTCGTGCCTTCACCTCTGATGTGTTTCACGAGCACGTAGTTCAACCCAGATGGGACCCCAGAGATTCTGGGACCGGCCAGGGGCGGCCACATGAGCACCTACTGGCTCTGACTTTTTGTATCAAGCAGGCCTCAGTTTGCTCATTTTGATCTAGTGACAAAATTAAAATTGTCCATTTCCTATATAGATACCAGCAAGACCACGCTGAGATACATGAACTCGCATTTCCTTCTGTTTTAGTAAGGAATGCCAGACTCATCTTTGATGGGAATACAGTATTAACCCTGCTCGATGTAACATGTAAATAGCACATGGGCAGATGGCCCTGGGTTTGCACTTTGGTCTTGCCATCACCCCCCAGTAACACCCGGGGAGTTCTGCATTGAGTGGATGGACTTACTCCTATGAAGCGGCATAATTTGTCTCGATTGAAAAATGGCATTCACTCTTACAGACGGTGTTCACTGCAAAGCCCTGGAAGCACATGGCATGTGTTCACTAAGAGGCCTTGAATCCTGGGGAGTAAGGGGCGAAGGCCCTTAGACAACCACGGCTGCTGTACTGCCGCCCAGGTGGGGTGGCCAGTGAGGACTGGCCATAGCCCAGTGAACCTGTGACTTATCTGAGGCCCTTGAGTAAGTGACCACATTTGGAGCTTTTGCTGGACATGCCTGATCTCTTGGTCTGGCTCTGCCGTGTAGTCCATAGCCCAGCCAGATGAGTTTGCACCCTCACAGGAGGCCAGCACCTTGCAAAGATGCAGTCACCATAGATATCCACATAGCAGAGACTGATTAGGATCTGAGATGAAGCATTGGATTGCAGGAATAACTGTCCAAATTAGTTCTTCCTCCTCAACTCACAGGAGTAGCTGTGGACAGAGGAACCAACATCTACCACCTCTGGCATTTTCTTTCTTTCTTTCTTTTCTTTTTTTTTTTTTTTTTTTTTAGATGGAGTTTTGCTCTTATCCCCCAGGCTGGAGTACAATGGCACGATCTCGGCTCACTGCAACCTCCACCTCCCAGGTTCAAGTGATTCTGCCTCAGCCTCCCGAGTAGATGGGATTACAGGTGCCCGCCACCTCGCCCAGCTAATTTTTGTATTTTCAGTAAAGACGTCGTTTCACCATGTTGGCCAGGCTAGTCTCAAACTCCTGACCTCAAGTGATCCGCCCACCTCGGCCTCCCAAAGTGCTGAGATTACAGACCCGAGCCACCGCACCTGGCCTATTTTCTTAAAGGGGAACAAATGATCTTGACGACATATTATTCCATAAAACCAGTTTAGGACGCATGCCAGTTCCTGATTAGAACACAGGGCCCATGGGAGGGACTATCAGAGGTGCAAAAATTACTTCAAGATGAGTTTGTTGTTTTCATTTAATATTGCAGAAGTTAGAAGTCATTTTACAAATTTAGAAGAGAAAATTTTTTCTTGGTAGTGTTTAAAAATTAGGGGATTGAAAGGATCCAGGATGGGCTTTGTGTGTGTGTCTCCGATTCTCATTTATTAGTGAGCACACCTGTGTATATATATAAATCACAAGGAGATCATCAAGGGAAAACATTTTGCATGTGTAAAGCTTCATGAAGTTCTCTTTAAAAAATACCAAAGCTTGTTTATTTCTGATAATTAACCTAAGCCCTTATGAAAATAAACAAAATGAAAGGATTATGACCGTTACCAAAAACACCAAAAGGAACAAAGGGGCCTGCATTAAAATCTATTTGCTAATGCTTCACAACTAGGAGAGCATGCCGTCTTGATGTTTAAAAAACCCAGGGTCTCCGCCCTTCCTTTGATTTGTGCAATTCTGTCTTCCACAATTCCGGAGCCTTCAGTGAGGGGTAGCTACATGCCCCATGCCTGCCCTTTCTTTCCTTCTTTGCTCACTTTACTATGGGTGTATTTTAATCTTGTGTAAAAATATGCATGAATGAGTCATGCACATGTATACGTTACGTATTTGACAAGTGGTGGTAAAACAAAATCAAAACAGATTTGGTTTGTGTTTTTGAAATGTCAGTTCATTTTGTGCCACTAACACTGTGATGTATAAAAGAGCTGTTTGAATGCCTTTTAATGTTGTGTTTTGTACTCTGGAATTATATGAAAAATGTTTGATTTGTAATTTCAATACATATTTTAAATGTATTCTGTCTTACGTAGTTTGTCCCCCCGCCCCCCTTTAGCAGGGATTCCTTTTTAAAGCTATTTTGGCTGGAATACAGGTGATTTTTGTAAACCCCGCGTGGCTCCGTCTTTTGTAGATGCTTATTTGACTACTGACCTGAAGATGGAAAAATATTCTATCTTCAATCTTCAATATTTAACCTATTGAAGATTGAAAATATTCAATATGGGAACTGGGGGTGGAGGGAGAAAGGGTGAGGCAGGGAAGGGATCTTCTATCACTGGGAAAACAGCTCTTGTATTCTGAGATTTTCCGTTTTAGGAATGTTCTCAACTCTTGGATGCCAAAATCACTTGGTTTGTTGGGTGAATCAACCCGTCCAGCCATTCTTGGCTCCCTCTTGTGGTGCTAAACCGGTACTGCAGCGTCAGGAAGCATCTCATCCCCACTTAGGGCGCTCTGCCTCCGTCCACAGAGACAAGTGCCTTACAGACCTGTCACATTCTATGGGATGCATCATGAAAATCAGGAGGCATCCTTTTCCTGCTGGGGGGAAAAAGTGGAATAGATATGGATCCTTCTCATTTCGTTGGAGAAATAATAATAAGCTGAAGATGTGGTGGTTCACCTTGATTTTCATTCCTCTCCCTCCAGCTTGTAGGAGAATCTATACCTCATGCATTCATATGCGCAAGTCTGGGATAGGCAATTGGTTCCATGTCCTGTGTTTAAATTTTAAATCCATTCCTTGGATCTACAGGTACACATTAAGGGAGTGGATTTTGTTAACTGGTCATGCATAGTGGGCACTGAAGACTCAATATATTTACCCTCAAGGAGCTCTTAGTCTCCAGGGGCTGATAGAGAAGTCAATCAGTTATCATAAGAAGGTGTAATAAATTCAATGGTAAGTGCATGCTCAGCAGGCTGCGGACACACACAGCGCAGCCCTTCAGCCAGGCCTGAAGGTCAGGGAAAGCTGTCCAGAGGACGCCGTGTATGAGCTCAGTCTTGCAGACAAGTAGGAACTAGCTAAGCAGAACTGAGAAGTGTGTTCAAAGGAAGGGCCCAGTTCAACAAGCGCATGGAGTTTGGTCCGACTGGCATGTCGGGGTTGGAGAGTTGCTCAAATGTTTGACCTGTTCGGGACACAGTGTGTGGAACTGAAGAACCGGACCTTCATTATAAAAGCTGTACGGTAGGAGTGAGTTAGGGTCCTAGGGCTGCTGTCACAAAGGACCACACACTGGGGGTTACAACGGAGCTTTACTGTCTCCAGGTCTGGAGGTTGGAAACTGAAGGTTCAGGTATCTGCAGGGCTGGATTCTTCTGAGAGTGGTAAGGAGGATGCCTGTGTCGCTCTGCAACCTCCTGGTACTGCTGGCAGTCCTGGGTGTTCGTTGGCTGGTAGATGCACCCCCAATCTGAACAGCTCACATCATGGCTCATGCTACCCAGGGGTGCAAGGAAGTGGTTGTGCCACAGCCTGCAGGTTCCCACAGTGTTCTCCCTGTGCACACGCCTGTGGACATGGCTCCTTCATCTAAGGGCAAAGTCATACCGGATTAGAGCCTACCCTGATGACCTCATCTTCACGCGATCATCTGCAAAGACCCTATTTACAAATAAGGTCATATTCACAGGTTCTGGGCGTTAGGACTTCAACATTTTTTGTGGGAAACACAACTCACTTCCATAGGAGGGAGCACGGATTCTGTGTGGGCCGTCTGGCCCCAGGGAGGTCAACCAGAGAAGGTGGACGGGTACAGCAGATGGCGGGGCTCCGTTGCTGGTGGTGCTGCCTCCGGGTGTGGTCCAGAAGCAGTCCTTCCCTACGCTGGGTTGCACATCAGTTCTTCCAGCGGACCTGGGATGTAGGAATTGCCCCCCAGAGAACACTGCCAAAGAACAATGACTTTTAAGCAAAATAAGTCCATATTTGTCTGTCTACATAGGTACATACATTTGTTTCTAAAAATTGAGAAAGAAATTTGCCAGCAAAGAGTCTTACCAACATTAAAGAAAGACTCTTAGAGGAACCCAAATTACAGGCCGTAGAGGGTGGGAATGGCACTGACTTCGATAGCATGTGCTTGTCTGGAAGGTTATTCCAAACTTGACCTTGTTTGCAGGAGGCACATGAGAGAATGTAATGGCTGATGTGGTTCGACCACAAGACAGTGTCCACTCCTCAGCTCAGCTCATCTCTGTCTATACCAGTGAGCAGCTCAGCCATTTATCAACAGCAACTGCTGCCCACGACCTGGTGTTTGTTACTCGCTCTTCTGTAGCTAAAGTCACCCAGGATTTGCATTTTTGGATGAAGCCAACGTTGAATGGGGCACAGAGGAGCAGGGTGAAGAGAGCTGCAGTGGCTGCTATACCCAGAGAAGGCTGGAGCCACATCGCAGGGGGGTGACTTCCCGTACATGTGACTCAGGCTGGGAGCACCTGTTTCCTGTTTGAACATTGGGATAAAAAGTCCCGCACAGGATTTTTCTGAGGATAAATGAGGAAATGACAAGTAAAACATAGAGTACATTTTGGTGACATATTAAGTTGCTCATGCGGTTCCACTGTGAATGTGGATGAGGCTCCCAACAAGGATACCCACTCAGCACTCCTGCTTCAAGTACAGACAGACCCTCTTCCCTCCTGTTTTCCTTGTAGGACCTGACAAATGAACAGCTCACATCATGGCTCATGCTACCCAGGGGTGCAAGGAAGTGGTTGTGTCACAGCCTGTGGTTAATGCAAAGAAAAATGGAGTCAATATTTTCATATTGGAAAATCTGAATTTGCAGTATCAAAAGTCATTCACTTGTTCTCCTGGGTAACTGTCTGGGTCTTTCTAAAATATATTTTTATTTATTCTTATTTTTTCTCACCAACTTACAAAATTCATTCAGAATGTGAATACATGTGATGTGTTTTTTACTGCATAAGAAAGATCCAACAAGGGGTAGTCTTTTCTCACTTCTCAGAATTTCTCAGCTTATCACAACTTTTATGAAAAGCCCAAAATGCAAAAGGGATTACTTTTCAAACGCTTCTGACGGCTGGACTCCGTGTTCATTTTATCTAGGGATTTAGGGAATTCACATTGTAAACAGGTTTTCACATATGCCTCCTCAGCCCCTGCTGTTATTGGACACATAGTAGTGACTTACTGAATGCTTGTCAGGTAAAGGAACTAAACTTCTGCTGCCAGGGTGTGTGTGTGCAAGAGCCTGTGTGAAGTACATGTGTGAGTGTGTGTATGTGTCTATGCATGTGACTGTGTGTACGAATGTGTGTATTTGTAGTTTGGAGAGCATATTAGTCCGTTTTCATGCTGCTGATTAAGACATCTGAGACTGGGAAGAAAAAGAGGCTTAATTGGACTTACAGTTCCACATGGTGGGGGAGGCCTCAGCGTCATGGTAGGAGGTGAAAGGCACTTCTTATATGGCAGTGGCAAGAGAAAAATGAGGAAGAAGCAAAAGCAGAAAGCCCTGATAAAACCATCAGCTCTCATGAGTCTTATTCACTATCACGAGAATAGCGTGGGAAAGACCGGCCCCAATGATTCAATTACCTTCCCTTGGTTCCCTCTCACAACACGTGAGAATTCTGAGATCTACAATTCAAGTTGAGATTTGGGTGGGGACACAGCCAAACCAGTCACTTGGGATGGTTCAGCTACAAAAAAGCCTTAACACTTGAACTGGAAGTGTAGACAGTCTAGAAGCAAAAGCCTCAACTGTAGTTGGAAGAAATCCCTATTTTGAACTGAGAACCTCTTCTGAGCCAGGCACTTGCTCACTGCTTTCCATGGGTTGTGTTTCATGCTCACAAAGCTGCGAGTCTTATCCTCATATCACTGGGGCTTGGAGAGGCCCATTTGCCTCAAGTGACACCAAGGATAAGTGGCGGGTGAAGCTGGGAACCCAAGTCTGCCCTACAGGGACCCAGTGTTCCTCCCACCACACATGGCTTCCCTGGGCCTCTTCCCTTCCCGTTTACCCTGACTGGCACGCAGAGACTCTCTCAGCCATGCCGAGTGGTTTCCTTTCTGTTCCTGGGATGGTTTAAATCCTGCATCTGAAGATCGCATCCCAGGAGAAAATCCCAGTCCTGTCTGTTTTCAAGCCAGCAAGATGAATGAGAAAAATGAGCTCAGGAAATCCTGAGGGGGAGATTGTTGCTCTCAGGCACACTCGTACGATCTCAGATGATTTCAGAGACTACAGACAAAACATGGCTCATCTCCACCTTCAGATATGCATACACAAGGACCTTCCAGGGGACCAGCATCAGGTGGGAGACGTTGCCCATCGCAGGACAAACACTGCAATTCCTGGATCAACATTTTGTTCCCAGAAGAAACTAACTATCAAAACCACCCTGGGATGTAAACTATTATTGTCACAATTCTTCACTTTATAGGCAATAAAATTAAGGCTCAGAGTCTTGCCCTATAACAAACAATGAGCAGACCATAGGGCCCGGCCCAACCCCACGGCCAGTAGGAACACACCCAGGCAGAGTTCAGTAAGACACCCAAAGCCACGTGAAGGGCAAGGATGGGCCAAGAGTGCCCAGAGGAGACTCCCTGCAGAAAGGGTGTTAGAGAGGCTGCGGTAGGGGCCACCGTGCTTGGAATTAGGGGGTGACCACAGCATGGGGACCTTTCTAAGCTATGTTTCCATGGCAGCAAAGTACTTCATAGGAAACGATCACCTTGGAAATTAACATTTCCACAATCTGAAATAGAATTAATCCAAGAGCTAAATTGACACTGAAAGCTGCAGAGGTAAGTGCTGGTGAAGTCTACTCAACCTTCTGGACGAGATTCACTTTCACCTAAAGCCAAGTATGAATGCATAGGCAGCAGCTAAAACACAGCTGTCTTGGGTGCCATAGGCTCTTCATTGGATACCTACTCTGCAGAAACCCATGGCAACTGAGAATGATAGAGATGCAAAGCCTCCTAGAACCTCTTCCCCCTGGGGCTCAGGGTGTGGTGGGATTTACAGTGTAGGCAATTACACTCGATGAGAGGGTTTGTGGGGCTCTATAGGATCACAGAGGAGGAATGAATGGCTGCACCTGGAGGGAAGGCAGGGCCT